GGCAGTGTTTTGTTCTGCTGTGCATGGGGTCGCTATGTGTCGGAAACGACTCGACGGCACTTAACAACAACAACAACATCACTCATACTGCTGTATCAAATTTAAGTTTGCCTTGGTTCCAAGAGTTTGTGAAAAGATAAGAGGCCCTTTCTTAAAAGAGGGAAAACACACCCATTCTCCAGAAGAGGTGAGTGCAGAGCCAATAAACAGCCCAGCAGGGGCAGACTCACCACGGCTGTGAAGTAGTGCAAGTGCAAGGTCGGTCGACTTCTCACAGAGAAGACCACGGCCCCCAAGAGGAAGCAAAATGCAAACAGGTCATTGAGAAGGTCCTAAAAGAGGGGGATGAGGGTCAGCCTTCAACAGAGCCAAGCCCACCACCCCAGCGCCCAAAATGCAAACAGGTCATTGAGAAGGTCCTGAAAGAGGGGAATGGGGGTCAGCCTTCAACAGAGCCAAGCCCACTACCCCAGCGCCCAGTGCGGCACCTTGTACTTATCAGGTACCGTGGAGTCAACTTTCAATTCACAGTGACTCATGGTGGCAGAGTAGAAAGAACCCATAGCGTTTTCTAGGCTGGTAGCGCAGTGGTTAAAGCACTCAGCTGCTAATTGAAAGGAGAAAGATGAAGCAGTCAGCTTCCATGAAGATTTATAGGCTTGGAAACCCTGTGGGGCAGTTGTACCCAGCCTGTAGGGGTTCTATGAGTCAGAATCGACTCAATGGCCATGGGTTGGTTGGTTGAATCTGGGAGCGGATCACCAGGTCTTTCTTCTGTGGAAGTTAAGAGCTGAGTGCTTAACCATGTGCCACCAGAGCAATTTCAAGGGGACTGATTTTCAAATTTCCACTTGATTTGTTAAATATTTTATTTTATTTATTTATTTTTTTTGGTGAAAATATGCACAATTTAACCTTTTCTACATGTCCAACTCTGTAATGACATTCTTGAGATGAGCAGTCGGGCTTGATCAGAGCCTTTCCTGGATTACTTCCCCTCACTCCCAGCTGCCAATGCCCAGGCCCCACCTGAGGGTGCTGAGCCCATGCCCCCAGCGCTGGACACAGAAATGGGGGAGGGAAGGCGTGATTCTCTGCATAGTCACTTCCCAGGTGCCATGACCCCCATGGGAATGCACATGGAAGCTGGTGCCTCTGCGCCCATCCCCCTCTTACTGCAATGGGCCACAGGATGAAGGGCATGTATCTGTTGATGGCGAAGCTGTAGATGATGATGAAGAAGATGAGGATGGACACCTCCATGGTGATGATGAGCGTCAGGATGGGATGCGCCGACAACCCATTAAACAGGATCAGTGCTGCTATCAGGCAGCCCTGCTGGGAGACACAAGGAGCTTTGGTGGCATAGTGCCTAAGGCATTTGACTGCTAACCAGAAGGCTGGCGGTTCAAACCCACCAGCTACTCCACGGAAGGCAGACTGGGCAATCTATTTCCCTAAAGATTTACTGCCCCGGAAACCCAAAGGGGGTCGCTATGCATCGGAATCGGCTCCATGGCAGTGAGTTTGGTTTTTGGCCAGGAGACACGTGCCTGAACCAGCGGCCAAGGGTTCTTACCCACTCCGGAGCCCCTCCAGAGACCCCTGGAGCCGAGTCACCAGTCCTTGGACCCGCGTCCTGGGGCACTAGCCCTGCTCACCAAACCTAGGAACTTGACCTCGCCGTGCCCCATGACCCAGAATTCTTTGTTGTTACTCTTGAGTTCCCAGCGGTACCGGCGACACTTTTTCCTGGTGCCCACTTCATCCTTGGGCTGCGGTGACTTGGGCTTTTTGGGCGGCTTCTCCTTTTTCTCCTCCTGTTTCTTCTCCTCCGGC